TTTTAGTAGGAAATGCTTCGCCTTTTAGTAGGAAATGCTTCGCCTTTTAGTAGGAAATGCTTCGCCTTTTAGTAGGAAATGCTTCGCCTTTTAGTAGGAAATACAACCCTCTCATCTCTTTCCTCTCCAGCTGCCTGACGGAGGCCTTCAGCTCACTCTCTACCAGTATAAAACATGCCCTTTCTGCAGCAAGGTCCGAACTTTTCTTGATTATCATGGGCTACCCTATGAAATTGTGGAAGTGAACCCAATAATGAGGAAAGAAATCAAATTTTCTGTCTACAGAAAGGTGCCTATTCTGCTAGCGAATGCTGGAAGTCCTCTGGTAAGTTGGGGAAATAAATGCTGGGGCAAAGGCTTTAAGGGACTTCTGGGTTTTTTTTTTTTTTCAGTTTCACCAAGAAGTTCTTAAAAAAATTGTATTCTTTTTTCAGCAATTGAATGATTCTTCAGTGATCATCAGTGCAATAAAGACATACCTGATATCCAAGTAAGGAAGCAGAAGGATGGGTAACRGTTTGAATGTGAATAGCCCTAGCAGACTGGAGATTTAGAACTCCCTCGCAGGGATTAGCTCCTTAGTTTCTTGCTGAACTTAGTGTYGAAGCTTTAGGTTTTTGTTCACTTGACCGAATCCCAGCCCTGATGGTGTGGATAATGCTGTGGATAATGTGTTAGTGTGTGTGGCTGTGTTAAAGCTCAGCTTTTACCTTTCAGAACTTGTTTCCACCTCTGACAAAGAGTATGCAAATCATAATGTTATTTGGCAATTACTAGTACATGATCTTTTTCAAACTAGTTTCAAGTAGAGTTTGGTGCTTAATGCTTTTTACCGTTTTGAAGTGTGCATATTCTGATGCGTCTTCTACATTTATGGAGCAGCCAGAGCAAGTGCTGTGTTTCTGTCTTCAGGAGGAAGAGCTTAGAGGAGATTGTGTCATTTTACCCTCCTATGAAAAGCGTGAGTGAGAAAGGCAAGGAGACACTTGAATATGGGAATAAATACTGGCTCATGCTGGATGAAAAGGAGACAAAGCGAATCTATCCCGTCAAAGAAGTGAGAGTGTAAGTGCTTTTAAATTTGGGGGTCTCACAAGTATGGTCACAGCTTCCTCCACGTGTCACGGGAGGAGCAGGCTGGGTGGCAGCTTGTGATACACTCATCCTTGGCATGGTCGCTAGCTAATGTCCCTGTGATGCTGCCTGTAGTCCTGCGCCTGTAGCTCATGTACTGAGAAGTCTCTCTTGAATACCCACAGGGAAGAAATGAAGTGGCGAAAATGGGCGGACGACTGGCTGGTTCACCTCATCTCGCCCAACGTTTACCGCACCCCTAGGGAAGCCTTGGCGTCGTTTGATTACATTGTCCGGGAGGGGAAGTTTGGCACCATGGAAGGCTTCTTTGCTAAGTACATGGGGGCCCTTGCCATGTTTATCATTAGCAAGAGGTTGAAGAAAAGGTAAGTACAATGGGCAGCCCATACGTGAAAGGAATAACGCCTTCTCCTTAGCTGTGAGATGCAGATGTTGATGTGGAACCTCAGTGTTTTAATCCAAACTGTTTAATCCTCTGCAAGTAACAGTGCTGCTAATTCTGCTCTTTGCATGAAGATACGTACTTCACACGGAGTAGTGTTTATGCATTTGCAGTACTACTTACTACTCACTATGCCCTTTATTCTCTGATCAGCCTTCTGAATTCCCAGGCGGGGATCAGCCTTTAATGTTAAAGAAAGGTTAAAATAAGAAGCAACTAATTAGAAAACATATTGTTTCCTTTCTTTATCTAGGCATAACCTTCAAGATAATGTCCGACAAGACTTATATGAAGCGGTTAATGAGTGGGTAAAAGCTGTCGGCAAACATCGGCTATTCATGGGTGGCAGCCAGCCAAACCTTGCTGATTTGGTAAGAGGTTAATTTCTGTATCTGTAGCTAAGTATATGGCAAGCCTTGTCCAGTTATTCGTCTATATATAGACAGGGAAGATAAGTTATGTGAGATATTGTCAGTGTTCTTTGTTATGTGGTAACATAATTTCCACCTGAAGATGCACTTGGAGGTACTCATCTTGCAAAGAGCAATGTTTGCTTTTTTTTTTTTTTTTGTGTGTGTGTGTGTGTGTGTTCCTTTCTATGTGAGAAATATTCCTGAAGCGTTCACTTTGCAGATGACGTGAGCATCTGGAGGTGGATGCTACACATCATTTGGGAGCATGATGAAAGCTGTTTACAAATGGAGACACTGACGTGGCTAGTGCCTGTTGGTTAATAAGAGTTGACACCTGCACAAAACTTGCTACATTCAGTAATTTTGGAATTTTCTTTGTAGCAGCAGCACAGGGTGAGATGTAATTTGTCTCTTGTACCAGTGGTTCTCTATGAATGTAAGTCAAGCCCTTCATAGCAGGGATTGATGCAGAAATAGGATTAGCTTTTTTTGCTACAGGTGCAGGTAGCTCCTGACCTTTTTTTGGCATTTCCTCATGAAAAAACATACTTGTTCTTATCACCTCTTTCCAAGTTCATACTCTTCCTTGCCTATTACCCTGGTGGAATGGAAAGTAGGTGGTTAAGGCACTTAAATCAGTGTGCTATGGCATTTTCCCTATTTGGTTGTTTTCAGTGGTGTTTTCAATCTTTATCCTCTGGCACAGGCAGTCTATGGTGTCCTCAGAGTCATGGAAGGACTGGAAGCCTTTGACGACATGATGGTTAACACCAAGATTCAGCCTTGGTACCAGCGCATGGAGAAAGTCGTTCAAAAAAATGAATTTACAATCTGATGTCAACTACAGCTGCTTTCCTGAAATACTTGCATAGGGGAAAGGCTTCAGAAGGAAAGTCTTTTTTTTTATTATTTATTTTTTTTAAGAATTTAAAATGGCCTGGTCRCACCTTGTGGATGGACATGCTGGCATAGACTGTCCTCTCTCGAACAGCAAGTCTCAAATGAACAGGAGGGATTCAGCTGTACATAAATTTGAGTATGATATTTAAAAGGACCGGGATGGGTAAAAGGAGTCTTGGACATTGCTGTATTCTGCAGTTCAATCCAAGCTTTTCCTTTTACAGCGGATGGGCTTCTCTAGGTGAGAGCCAGGTTCCAAGCAGGCTGCTGAGAAGGCAGGGCCTGCTCTTGACCGGTAAATGTTGCAGCCATAACAAATATGATGCATCTGAGCGGCTTCTGCTTCAGGCTGTCTTCCTCCACTCATCCGAATCACCTTAAAATGGTTTTCTGAGGCACTGGATACTGTATTTCTAACTGACACCTCTTTCTCCTTGAGCACCCCAGTGCTGTCGTGACTGTAGGAGTACATGGTCCTGCGAGAGGCTCCTTGCTACGGCCCAGGATGCTGCACGTTGCAGACTGTGTGCGTTTGCTCTTCCGTGTGAACGGTTCTTTGGTACCAGACTGGCGTCTGCGGTGATAAAGGTCTGCTTCTCTCTTCATGCCAYATGTGCTATCTATGATTTTGTATGTGTTTTGTGCAGGGAGCGTACGTTGCGCTGCTCCCTGGGCCTTCCCGGAACGATTTGTCTTGCAAAAACTCTCCTGGGAAATGCCCTAGGAGGTCAGCTTGTTTCTGTCCTGGAAAGCCCCTCCAGGTGCTTTGTGGTGCAGGRCAGTGCCAGGATTTGCTCCTGGAGCTGCTCCAGGACTCTGCGATACAACCTCTGCTGTATGCTCCRAGTTGGAATGGCCCCGTGTCCTCCTAAGAGACAATGTAGGGTTGAAAGTGACTGTAACTACCACCTGCACTAGCGCTCCCAGCTTCCCTCTGGAGAAGGGGCTGCCTGTKAAAGAATCTTGTTTGGAGAAAGAGTGCAATGAAACAGTGTCTGCAAAACGTGTGTTTTCATGGTGGCTTTGTTTGCGGGGGCAGTTGGGGAGGTCCACTTCTATTCCTTCCCCCTGCACCGGCACCACGCCCGCCGCAGCAGCAGGCACATGAGCAGCTGTGCAGGAACACCGGCTCCTGCCCTTGCTTCGTGGCTCGCGGACGTGTTCGKTAAAGCTGGCTGCGCGGCTCGGCGGTAACCCCGCGCCGGGGGGGCGGAGCCTCGCGCCGCGGGGCGGGGCCCGCGCGGGTTGCCATGGCGCCGGGGGCGACGCCCTGGTGAGGCGGGGCCGCGTCCCGAGGCGCGTTTGAATCGCCCAATGGCGGAGCCGCGGGCGGCGGCGCGGCGGCGCGCCCGGAAGTGCGGCGGCGCCCGCTGCCCCTGGTGCTGCCTCCCGCCGCCCACCACCTCCCGCCCGCGGGGTCTCCATGGCAGCCTCGCCGCCGACGCCGAGGACCTGCTGAGGCGGCGGCTGCGGGCCTCGCTCGGCCCTGCTCGGTGAGGGGGCGGCGGAGGGCGGGGCTCCGCGGCCAGCGGCYGTTGGCCCCCAGGAGGCCCGGGGTGAGGCGGTTGAACCGGCGGGCGGCGCCCAACGGCTCCCGCTCCGCCGTCCCGCAGCGGGGCGGGCTCTGCGGCGGCGGTTGCGCCGCGCCGATGTTGCCGAACGGCACCGAACCCGCCAAATTGTGACTGTCTGTAACGGCCGCGCTCGGGTAACGGCCGCGGCCGGCAGCCGGTTCCGTGAGGAACCTTCCTGTTCCTCATTCCCAAGTACCAGCGTCCTGTGCCCTGCCCCACCAACGCACCGAACACGGTGTTTCCTCTGCGTGTCTGCCGTTGTCCCGGTGCTTTCTTATTCCTCCTTCCCGCCATGATAATTAACAGCAGTAACCAGCATGTGACAGCAGCAGTATTTTCTGCTTTTCTCCACTGCACTAATGATCCCCATTAAAATGAAGGTTTTAGTAGCCTGGATTATGCCGACAGTTCCTCATTTGATGCCTGCTTTTGCTGTACTCCTTGTGTTAGTAAACAAAAATTAACGTTCTAGCAGAAAGTCAGAGTGATCTTATTGATCTGGCCTGGAGCAGGTCATCCCAGGGAGCTTGGCAAGCTGAAATAACAATAAATGGGCTCTAAGCAGAGATCTGATCTAGCAACCGTCGTGTACAAAAACCTGCTTTAGCAGCAGGTTGTGCTTGTAACACTGTTGGGTGGCAAATTGTGAACAAGCGGTTCCCTGACATTAACTTAAGCCTGGTTTCCTAGGGGTTGTGTCCCCTGCATCCTGTACTTTCTCTCACACTAGCGACTCTGCTGTGTTCCCCCCATGCAAACTAGTCTTTTGAGCTTCCTCTTCCATTGCTGTTGTAGCCAGTCCTGTAAGCACGGGAGGAGAGAAGCTGCTCATGCTGTAGCCGAGCCCTTTGCTTTTGCTGTGTGCTGATTAGCCCTTTGGAGCGGTTTAGCTGGAGCAATACAGCCCTGTGGACTCATATTGCAGACTTTCCTTCAGCAAGAGCTCGGGTTGGACCTACCTCCTCAGCGTACAAAACTGCATAAAACCAGACTGAATATGAGGTCCCTGCGTTGCTCTCGAGTTTTACTGAATTGGTTGCGAGAAGTGGATGCCTGAAGTTATTGAGCACATGTGGCTTGGGAGTGGGGATGGACAGACARTGTAGAAGTGTTCAACCTTGGTCCCTTACAAAATTAGCTAAAACCTGCATTTATAATTTGAAGGGCTTTAATTGTTGCAGTAATGTTATTTTGTGTCGATGTACAAAACTATTTATCAATAGAAATCAAACTTTCATCAATAAAATACAATGAATGATAATCTCAGCTCCTCCCTCCTCCCATGCTCGTCAGGCAGAGGATACATTGACGCACTAGCTCTTGTTTAGGCTTTTATATTAGATTTATTTGACCCTGCACAATCTCTTGTACTGAAAGGAATAGAGATGCTCAGAAATCGATACCCTTTCCAAGTAGTGGTTACTCTGTTATTTCTGTACCAGGTTTCCCTCACCCATCAAGAACCAAGTGACCTCAATCTGTGCTCAGAGAACAGTGTCAAGAGGATCAGAAAGCCTGTCAATAACTGTAAGTAAATATATCTAGGCTGGCAAGAACCTTTTTGCCTGTGTCAGGTTAGTTCTGTTAGTGGATTTCTCTAGGATTTGTAATTGCTTTATATCAAATAAAAATAATACCAAATAAACCAAAGGCTCATGCTCAAAACTGATTATTTTAACCTTGCGTTTCCAGCCTTATCTGCTTTGTTTTAGGCACTGAGTAAGGTAATGCATTCAATTAATGTGCGAATTTGTAAATACATAAATCACTGAGAAATAATATCAACAACAACAACATCTGCTGTGATCTGAAAGCTTTTTAGCATTTGTTTAACTCCAAAATGGTGGCTTGAAATTAAGCACACATTAAAGAGTTTACTGGTTCTGGGATGTAAAAGGAAAGATCTTTTTGTTTCCTGTTATTTTTTTTTTTTTTAACTAAATTGTGGAATTAATTCCTCCTTGCCCCATAATGTTGCTGTACAGAAATTAGATGGTGTTGGTTACCAGAGCTCTTCATTTGCTTACTTGCTTTCAAAACTTCAAATTCTAATGAATCTTGTAGACACCCGCTCTCAATCTAACTGTAGTGGGTCTTTAATAGCCATGTTAAAAGCAGAAAATACCAGAAGCTGCAAAATTTCTGTTATTCCTAGTTCTGCTGCAGAACAGTGTGCAGTTCAAAACGGCAGATGCTATTGCAAGGAAGTTTCTGCTTTAGCCAGCGCTGGCCATTGTTGCTCTTTGCCACACAGGGAAATGTTGTTATTTCCAGTTTCCTTATCCACAGGTTTTCTTTCACTGTATTGCCCCTTCCCGTTTGTGGGAGAAGAGCCATGAAGAACCGTTCCTCATCTCCCCCCTTGCACGTCCATGTGGATGAAAACACCCCTGTCCATGTCCATATTAAAAAGGGTCAGAAAACAACACCTGCAAAATGCCAGGTATGAGTGTGTAGCTGGTTGTGTGTCCTCTGCAAATGAGGAAAGTGAAGGGTCCTAGAAACACCACACAGTCTTCAAGGTTTGATTTTGCTTTTATATTAGAACTGTACAACTCATTGCTGTGGTAACTTTATTCGTATTCAGTGATGATTTATCAGTAGTATTTYCTCTAAGATTATTGAGGTATGATACTGAATATGTAGACAGTTTTCATGGCTTGTTTTATAATGTTAGCATTTATGGTTGTGAGAAGTGTTGCTTCTGATAATTTTTAGATAATACTTCAAAAGAATCTTACAGATACTTAAACTTTGCATTACATGGTCTTGTACATTACAATGTAGGTAAGTAAAATAAATGACTTTGAGTAGCGCCTCAGCCAYGACAAACCCTGAAATGAAATTCATCTTTTAGTGTTGAGTCCTATCAAACAGAGGCTTTTGTACTTCTGCTAAGAGAAAATTTTCCTGTCATTTTACTTGAAATACGTGGAAGTTCTGCTCCAATGCTGTGTGGGTCTGTGGATTTTCTTCCTCTTATTTGCTTGAATTGGCGCCATGGTAATCAAACATTTGGTTCTTTTTTGTCTTCATTCCCAAACTCTTTAACCAAAAAAAAAAAAAAATCTGGGTATTACAAGTTATCTATTGTATTAAATTATGTACTTAAAAAAAAAAAAAAAAAGAGGGTCTTGATTTAAACGAACTTCTACCATCTTCCTATTTTGCAACGTGACAAAGAGGATTTCTTGGTAGCCTTATCCTCAATAGGCTAGGATCCTCAATAGGATGATTATGAAGTAGATTTGCTTGTCATATGATACCCTGCCTTTCAGCTGGATGTTCTTTATGTGAAAGTGTCCTCAAAAAGTGAAGGAAGTTGCTAATTCATTCTTCCTCATATCTACAGATGTTCTAAATCCTCTATTAATTATTAATTTGCGTGCTTACTGCCCATGGCAAGTATCATAACGGGATAAGGACTGATAGGGAAATCAATGCCCCTTTTAGTGAAAAGACTTTTATTTTAGTTGAAACTCCTCAAATTCAATTCAAATAAACATGGATATACTAGCAGAACACTTCAGGTCTCATTATTACCGAATAGTCTGCACAATTTAATTTTTTTTTTTTTTTTATTTTTTCCTTCCTGGTAGGGCTGCTGTTTTAGGACCTGGATCCAGAACGGAGAAGGGATATCCCAGGTCCTTCCTTTTGTACCTAAATGGATTATATTACAATATTTTTTGTTTTCTTCTTTTTTTTTTTCTCACCCCCTCCGTGCTTGCCAGGTGACTAAGGTTCTCATTGCATCACAGGCAGAGAGCCCCCCGTGATGTCACAGAGTTGCTATGTGATAAATAGCAAGAACGTGGCCCTGCAGCCATTCCGTCACCTGAATATGCAGGAACCTTTCCTTGTGGCTGGTGTTGCCCTGTGACCGCTGCTTCCTCATCTAAGATGAGCTGCCTGATCTGGTGTATCATGTGAAACACTAGGTGATATTTTTGCACCCCTGAGCTTTCTTTGGTTTTAATGGCACTGAAGGTTTAAATGATTCCTATGACGCCTGTGACTTACCTCTTTTTTTTTTTTTTTTTTCCTTTCCCCTTCTTCAGCAAAAGCACAAA